TATATACAGGGTGTCCCAAAAAAATGTATACACATTTTGAACAATTGTAACTCTAAGGTTTATTCTAATTTTATTATTTCAAAAATGCAAATGTATTTAGAAGTATCATTTTATTGTTTTTCCACTGAATTTTCACTATATTTTATATAATTGAGAAAGGGAGAAACCATTAAAAATGAATGCGCCCACATACCAATGGAATTGTTTTATGGTGTGTGCGATTTAATTCCTTCACATTGTCAGCTGTGTCTGGATTGAAGGGATGTCAGTTTGAGAACATGCAATGAGAAGACAATAAGATGATACTTGTTATTTTTTTACACTTTTTAAATAATTAAATTACAATAAATACCAAGTTTACAATTATTTAAAATGTGTATACGTTTTTTGGGACACCCTGTACATACTTCTCTGGTGGCAACCTACGCTATATTCAAGGTTTGTACATGAAGAAGGGGTATCTTTTTGTTTTTTTAAATTCCAAATTACCGATTAATTTTTAACCCTGGCGCAGTTACACCTCAATCCTATATGTCGCATACAATCTGTCCAAGGAAACTCCGGAAGTTTCCTACGTTATGTTGTAGCATTTTAAAACAAAATCAGTAAGTTACTAGATTCGGGAACGAAGAAGATCTCAAGGTCTTCAACGCCTCTTAATTAGATAATTTTCTTAAACCGAGAGATGCCCCTGTTTCAGATAATTTACTACCAAATATCTAAAATAAACATGTTCATGCATGTCTTATATAAAACACATTAAAATGTATAAGAACATCGGAAACCAAATCATCAGCATTAAAACCCTGCGAAAGTACTTTGCTTAGATCAAAAACACACTTGCGAATAATGGTTGAAATTCAATGGGATAGGGAGTACATTGTACGTTAATGTGAAAATTTGACGCTAAAAAGACATGCACCTAGACATTGCTAAAAAAGCCATGATCTGTGGCCTTGACTCCCCAATTTTTACTGATTATCCTATGAAAGTTGAACGTAATATTCTGTTCCATAGCCCCAGCCTATAGTAAAATATAACCTCTTCACAAAACATAAGTGGCTTTGTGAGCGAATCGAGAAGGCCTGAAATTGGCCAATGTTTGCTCTCAAAACGCATTCTTGTACTTACTCATGTTCTCATCTTTGTCCTTTTTGCCCTTTTAAGGCACAAATTGATCCCTTGCGTGATTGACAAAAAATATCTGGAGGAAATGGACAGGCCCATATAACGCTCAGTTTGATCCTACGTTCTCGGCTGTTCATTCACAACAACGGCGATGTGTCGCTTTGCGCAGTTGTCCTGTTCAACTGGCGTCAACTTACTCAACAGCATTTACAAGCATATGCAGTGAACAGGGATGCAGTTGGCCAATCGTCCTTTATAAAACACACACACGTAGAGCCCAGACAACTTTAAACATTTTTTAGTATTTTTTAAGCTGTCAGGCAACTGTTGTCACCCCAGATTTTAACACGCATATATATAAAGATGTTTCAAACCGTGCAAGATGATAGGCCAATCCAGCCAACCC